TGGTTTTTTTCAGACAGGGTCTCACTATGTAGTGAGACTGACCTGGAGCTCACTATGTAGCCCAGGCTGGTCTCGAACTCACAGCGATCCTCCTGCCTCAGCCTCCCAAGTGCTGGGATTACAGGTGTGCGCCACCACACCGGGTTTGACAGTGTGTTTTTGAAGTCAATTAAACCTCTGTTGGTTGTACATTTTATTTATTTATTTATTTTGTTTTTTTGAAACAGGGTCTCACTATGTAGTTGAAACTGACCTGGAATTCACTGTGTAGCTCAGACTGGTCTCAAACTCACAGTAGTCCTCCTGCCTCAGCCTCCCTAGTGCTGGGATTACAGGCATGCGCCACCACACCCGGCGGTTGTACATTTTAAATATGCTTATAATTTGCTCAACTGTGTACTTCTAATTGTCCAGAATGGACATCTTCTGAGATTTAAGAAAAAAAGCATTTTATTATAAAAAATGTTAAATACATACAAATATATCCAAGTAGGAAGCATGTAGACATGTAGAGAGAACACTGTCAAACCTCCATATATCTATAGCCAATTTCAGCTGTCATTAGCTTGTGATTAATCTTGTCTCATTGCTGTCTCCACTCACATTTCTTTTCCCCTTACCCTCCTCCCTACACCGCCTGCCCCACCAAGTTCTTGGGCTTAGATTATTTAGAATCATATCCTAGACGTTATATCATTTTATCAATCAATAATTCACTATGAAACACTAAAATATGAGGATTTTTGCATTTTTGTTATTGTTTGGTTTTTTGAGACAATGTCTCTCTTTGTAGTAGCCTAGGCTGGACTTGAACTCTATCCTCCAGCCTCAGCCTCCTAAGCACTGGGATTACGGGTGTGCGCCACCACGCCCTCCAAATAGGGGGACTTAAATCACAAAAACCATGCAGTGTCACACTTTAAAAATACAGTAATTCCTTAATGTTATCAAATATGTGCCCCATGCTCTAATTTCTGATGTCTGTTTTTCTTTTCCAGCTGATTTGTTTGAACTGAGATTCCAGGAGGAATCATAGTGTGATTTGTTGACATGCCTGTTAGCAATCCTCCATCTCTGTTTTACTAATGGTCAAAAACAATAGTGTACATGTACGAACTGCAGTTTCCCAGTCTGGATTTTGCGGATTATACCCCATGGGGTGCTTGAACAGCACCTTCTTCTGTTGTCCTATTTATTTCCGAATAGTCTTGTTTAGGGCCATAGAGACCCATGGGAATCAAGTTTGAGCTTTTTTTTTTGCAGGAATACCTCATAGAGGATATTATTTATCAGAAAGCATATAATGTCTGATTATATATCTTTCTATAACATTGACAGCCACAGGAAATTATTGTAAAATTAATTAAAAGGATTTCTTCGTTTACTAAGTGAAACTTACCCCAACCTTGAGATATTTTCCTATATGCTGCTGGGTCTTCATTCCACATTTTCAGTTTCTCTCATTAACCTGTCTATTCATGTACCGGGACCGTGTTGGGTTTTTTGTTTGTTTGTTTTGTTTTTTCCTCTCATTGAATTTATTGGTACATTTTAGGTGTACAGTACAGTCACATTCATCACTGGGATCTTGTACATTTACATGACAGGTCTTGGTTCTCATTTTTCCTCTTGTCCCTGCCCTCCCTTCACCCCCTCCTCTCCTCATTTACAAATACTTTATATCCATTTTTTCATTTTCTCATATTTTTTCCTTTTCCCTTATTACCTTTCGCCCACCCTTCCCACTTCCCCTACCCCTTTAGCCCTTTGCTTTCTATTTCACATTGTCTCTTATCCCATTAGGGTCTTATGTACAATTATAGTTTTTCACACCAGAGAAACTATTCGGTATTGACACATGTGTGACTTATTTACCGTGCTCTTTATAGCCAAGGGTTAGAGTATTTTAATACCTTATTCTATCCTGGTGAGGTTAGCCTCTGTTTTCCTGGCTGTTACTTGTTCTTCCAAATGAACTTTATAATCAACTTTTGTAACTTTGGGAAGAAAAGCTAATGATTTTTTCCATTAGGAGCACATGAAATATATGAATTTATAGAGTGTCGTACCTAATTATACTTAGGACGGTGGCTTTTCTTACTGAGAACATGGTCTGTCTTCCCATTTTTTGATATTTATATCAGGTGTTTCAGAAGATTTTATTACCCTCTTAGTTTGCTGCAGCTGCTATCACAAATCACCCTCCCAACGTGATGGTTTGCAGCAGTAAAAATGCTTTCTGTCTCACTTTCGGAGGCCAGAAGTCTGAACTCAGTTTCACTAAGCCTAAATCAAGGTATAGGCAGGGCCACGCCTCCTCAGAAGCTCTAGGGAAGCACATGTCACCTGCCCCTCCCGGTGGCTCCCAGTGTTCATTGGCTTGTGGCCCCATCACTAGAGTCGGTCCCTTCTTCCACATCACTGCCTCCTCTTCTCTGTGTCTCTCTTTAAGAACATTTACGATTGTATTTAGGGTTTACCCAGACAACCCAGGACTGTATTTGGAGACTACCCAGGTAATGTCAGGATCCTTAGTTTTTTTGAGTGGGGAGCAGTGGTAATGGTACTTGGGATTGAACACAGGGCTTTCACATTGAGCTACACCCACTTTAATTTATTTTTTATTTTGAGACAGTATTTTGCTAAATTGCCCAGGCTGAACTTTAATTTGCAGCCCTTCTACCTCAGCCTCCCAAAATGCTGGGGTAACTGAATTGTGCCGCACACATGGCTTCAGGGGCCTCAAGGTAGTCACATCTGTGAGGACACTTTTTTCTTATAAGGTAACATTTACAGATTCTGGGGAGTAACACCTAATAGTATCTTTGGCTATTCATTATTTAGCCTGTTTTAATTCCGTATGTAAATTTTAGACTTGTTTTTTAGAATTTATGATTAGATCCTTTGTCTCATTTTTGTTATGCAAATGGAAACTTTCTCATTATATCTTCTTTCTGATTAGTATTTGTGTACTGATTTTTTTTCGCTAGTACTGGAGATAGAACCCAGACCTTCGTGCTTTCTAAGCAAATACTGCACTTCTAAATTATATTCCCAACACCTGTATTTTGATTTTTTTTTTTTTGACCCAGAGTCTTGCGTAGGCTGGCCTTTAACTCATAAAAATCCTCAGTCCTCTAAGTACTGGGATTACAGTCTTGCCCCATTACTAAATTATCTTTATTATAGTAGCTTTTCTATTGATTTCCTTTGTAATGTGAGAATTATAATTATATTATTTGCATATAAGGGCCGTTCCCTCTTCCTAATTCTCACGCCTCTGGTTTTCCCTTGTTTAACTCTATTATCCAGTACCTCCGACGTGATGTTAAATAGTAACAGAAATATTAGGTATCCTGTCATCCCTCTCTTTGGCCAGAGAACTTCTAGTGTTTCCCATCGGATCCAAAGTATATCTTTAATGTTCTTGTTAGGGAATATTACATTTTCTAGGAAATTTTAAATTAATATTTAAAGGTGAGAAAGGTAAGAAGTTACCTTTATAAAAAATATTACGTTATATAGTGCTCTATGGTTTTTAAACTGTCTTCTAATATTATCTAATTCATTTAGTTCAGTTAGTTAAAAGGGCAGACACAGTAGCTCATCTTTCTATTTAAATATTTAGAGAAATTAAGTAATTATCTAAGATCATGCTGCTAAAATGTGGTAGATCCAGGACCATAATCAAAGATTTTCCTTCGCCGCACTAGGTTACACCGCATACTCCTTTCACTCAGTGCTTTCTTTCATGAAAACTATAGACTCAAAAGAAGACTTTGTAAATATGAGTATATATAAATAAGTTATTTTCATTTTCTAAATGTGACTTTCACATTTCTGTCAATTATTAAAACAGAGAAAAAAGAACTACTTATAAGTTGAAAGAAAAAATAAGTATGACTTTTTTTCTTTTTTTTTGTACCTGGGATCAAGCTCGGGACTTTGTGCTTTCGTGGCAGGCAGCAGAACCACTGAGCTAAATACCTGGCCCTTAATATGTCTTTTGTTTTGTTTTGGTTTTTGATTTTTTGAGACAGGGTCTCACTATGTAATTGAGACCGACTTGGAACTCACTATGTAGCCCAGGCTGGTCTCCAACTCATAGCAATCCTCCTGCCTCAGCCTCCCAAGTGCTGGGATTATAGGCGTGTGCCACCATGCCCGGCTCTAAATATGACTTTTAATGGTTTACTATATTAAATTCTTGATGCTTGTCAAAGCCATTATAGAGTATATTCCTCTTACAGAGAGACTAGATATAATAATCTCAGGGGCATAGATAATAGTAAAATGAAGTGAAATAACCAGGAAGTGATAAATACTGAATTACCTTTGTTTCTAGTATGATTTATTTAATTTCCAACTAAGATGTTTAATTTTTAGTGCTATTGGTGTACAACAGCTGGCTGGCAGTATCCCTAAAAACTTAGCAGTTGGCTCTCCTGAGCCAGTGTGAGCCTGTTCTAGCAAACTACTGAGTTAGTGCACATAATGAGGGTTGGGGTTTCATAAGCTGCCCATTGTTTTATGTTACAAGAAAAATCAATTTAAAAAGATTTGAGAATTGTAGAAAATTGTATTAATATACATCTTTTGCACCAGTGTGGCTTATTACTTTTATTAAAAACCTGAAAAAACAATTTTGCTCATTTTAAGTGAGAGCTGACCCTGTATCAAAAATGCTTTGCTCCTCGCACCTTTATTTCCACTTTTCAGTAAATAAGAAACAAATTTAGGTTAATAGTTTCTGTCTTTGTGTCACATAAGAAAATAAATGCTACTCATTATGCATTTGATTTTTTTCCCCTGTAAGGCTTAACTATGTCGCCTAATGAAGAACAAAACTTGAATCATTATGTACAAGTTTTAGAGAACCTAATACTGAGCGTTCCAACGAAGGAGCCAGACTGGGAGAAAATATCAGTATCTCCAAACCATGTCTCTTCTCCGGATCTGCCCGTGTCAAGACTTAAGGCACTCAGCACTCTTGAGGATGCTCCCACTGAGAACAGCAGCCCCAGCGATGGGCACAGTACAGCGCTCCCTGCTACAGGCCCCGCACAGGGGCTAGGGAGCCAGAAACCTCCCGAAAGCACGGCCTTCTGGTTGATCAGACCCAACAACGTCTCTGTCGTTCTGCACACAGAAGAACCTTCTATTGAAAAGGAGCCAGAGCCAGAGCCAGAGCCAGTTACGAAACACACCGAGGCCCCCAGTTCATCTTCGTTTACCACCAGGTCCTCCACGGGTCCTCCTGTCGTCACCACACCTTCGAGCACAGAGTCCGAAGATGTTCCCCAACTCTCAGGCGAGAACCCTGAAGAGCCGACTGAGCATCATTCACAGTTTATGAATAATAATAAGATTTTGAGAAAAATCTCACATATCCGCTCCCAGCTGCAACAGCTGCCTGTGGTTGACAAGAACGATCCAGAATCTAAAGCAGAGCTGGAGGCCTTGAGAAAGAACCTGAAACGAAGTCTTGCTCTGGCGGCAGCAGCAGAGCACAGATTAGAAAAGATGTATAAATCCCATGTCTTTTCAGAAGGACAGACCAGCGAGAGGACTTATGACATTGGAACTGTTATTAACATGCTATATAATTCTAGATCGAAATTATCGAAATATTTAGATATGAAATATGTTCCACCAGAGATGAGAGAAAAGGCAACCACAGTATTCAATACATTGAAAAACATATTATGTATAGGTCAAGAAGACACTCAAAACTTACTAAGAAGTCATTAAGAAACAATATAAAAATGTTAAGCCTACTTGATTCTCCATGACAGTGTTGATTTAAGAAAACTGCATTCATTCACGGGAAAACAAGCATATTAATGATTTCTAAAGCTGTATATCTTCTAATGTAGTTCAGTATACTTACATCTCTATATGCCATATGTAATGAGAATTTTTATACGCACTGGAAACCTAATAATTTAAAATAAAATTTTGGTTTTGGAGGTAGTAGTTTTTTCTCATTAATTTAAAAAGTCATACAGATCTAATCTTTAAAATAATTAAGCTTTGATTTTTACTCCAGTAGCTAAATTTGCCTATTTTCTGGATAAGAGACTGTTTACACTCTGTGTGTAGCTAGTTTTAAATAATTGCATATAAATATAAAATTTTCAGGTATATAGTTTTTACTACTCTTTCAAAGAATCTCAGTTTTCTGTCTGAATAGCATAGTTGGGGATTGTGTCAGAAGTACTTTTATTTGGATGTACTTGTGCCCCCTTTGAAAGGCGAATGATATACCAAGATACCTCCCTGTTCGTTCATTGTTAAGTACTTTGGGAATATCAGTGAGAGACTGTAACCTGAATTTATAATGAAGTCATTCTCACTTATTTTTTCTCTTTTTGTTTGTGTACATATGCCTTGAAGCTTTGTAAACCTTTTGATTAGAAGTCTGATTGACACCATTAGAGTAACTGTGTAATATTGTTGTGCCAGTAATTCTGTTTCACGATTTCATTCAAATTCACTTACTTATCCATTCATCAAGCCACTCATTTATAGTGTAGTAAGAACTTACTGACCTTTTACTAGGACAAAATGCTAGGCTTCGGGGATGTAATCTTAAGACCCCTGTTCTTTTCTCTTTGAGATTACATTATAGCAGGAAGGATGGGCACTAAACAAATAATTTCAGCAATTTAAAAATTTTAAAAGTGACAAATTGTTATGAAGGTGAGATATTTGATCCTATCTAGCCTAGGAATTATGGGAAAGCTACCCTGATAAAATGACTTTTAAAGTAACATCTGAAAGATGAATATGAGTTTACGGAGCCAGGGCTATTCCAGGCACAGGAAACAGGGTGTGTGAATGCTGGGTTAAGAATAAACATGGCAGGTTTAGGAAGTACTTGGAGTAGAGGAAGGTCAGGAAGAGCATTTCAGGATGGGGTGGTGGAATATTCAAGGTCAGAATAGAACCCGCAGGCCTGACCATGCCTATTAAGAATATTGGCCTAAGCCAGGCATGGTGGCGCACACCTGTAATCCCAGCACTTGGGAGGCTGAGGCAGGAGGATTGCTGTGAGTTCGAGACCATCCTAGGCTACATAGTTCCAGGTCAGTCTCAACTACATAGTGAGACCCTGTCTCAAAAAAACCAAAAAAACAAACAAACAAAAAAGAATGTTGGCCTTTATTCCCTGATCTGTGAAACATGATAAGTGGCTTTTAAGCAAAGGACTGATATGGTCAAATTTATATTGTTTTCAAAACAACACAGGCTACATTTTAGAGGTAGGCAAAAGTAGACGTACTGTACACAGGCCAAATTTAGCTTGGAGGGAATAGAATAGTAGTAACAGAATTTGGTGACAATGTATATGTGTAATTCAGAGAGTAGCCAGAGTTCAAAAATAATTCCCACACAGCAGTATCATAAACAGAATTGCATAATTTTTGTTTCATAAAAACTTTACTGTTGATCCTTATTTTTTAAATTGCTATGAAAAATTTTAAACATTTGCAAAAGTAAACTACTGTAGTGAACCCAAGTACCCATGATCCAGTTTCAACAATTTTGTCCTGAAGCCAGTCTCCTGTCCTCTATACCTCCACTTCTTCCCCTCTTCTCCTATGTTGAATTAAATCCCAGATACTTTTATTACTTAATCTCTAAATATAAAATGTGAAGCTCATATGCTTTTAAAAAAACAATAGAGCAATATCACAGAAAAATTTAATGATTCCTCATTATTTTCAAGTAATCAATATTTAAAATTATTAGGCAGTTCAAAATTTGGAATTTCACTGTATGAATCAAGATCAAATATCGTTCACATGTTGAGATTTGTTGCTTTGACCCATAAATCTCTTCTAGACTAAGGATTTCCTGTTCTCCTCTTTACTCCCCTTATTGAAATTTATTTATCAAAGAAACTGACCATTTGTCTTATAGTTTCCCGTAGTGTGGATTTTGCTGATTGCATCCCCTTAGTGCCTTTAACATGTTCTCCTGTCTTCTATGTTTTCTGTAAATTGGTGGCTTTGATCTAGAGAGGCTTCATTAGACTGCTTTGTCTTTTTATTTTTATTTTTTGACAAATAGTAATTTATTATTCCATCTAGTTATGTCTCTTTTTAAATTTTTACCAGACTTTGATGACCATTACCTAGATGGATTAATAAATCAGGTGATGCATAGTGCAGATGTTCCTTCCTTTATTAGCTAAATATGTCTTTAGAGATAAATTTTATCTATTTTTTGATTCCTTTGTGATTCAGTGTGTATTGGAAAGACATCAAATTCTTGAATCTTTCTTTTTTGTTTGTTGGTTTTTTTTGTTTTTTTTTGAGACAGGGTCTCACTATGTAGTTGAGACTGACCTGGAACTCACTGTGTAGTCCAGGCTGGTCTTGAACTCACAGCGATTCTCCTGCCTCATCCTCCCAAGTGCTGGGATTACAGGCATGCTCTTCTCTTTTTTTAAACAAATAAAAAAACAGTTAGTTCATAGAATTCTCCATTGATGACTTTTAAAAAGCTCTTAATAGGCTTCATTTCTCCTAAAGCACTTTTAGGCTTACGAAGAAATTAATCACGCTGCACAAAATACCTTCACCTCCATCTTCTCCCCAGTTAGTTCCTCCCATTTACATCTTGGACTAGTTGAGGTACACTCATTAAAATTGATGAACGATGAACTGACATTGACACATCACCACCCAAAGGCCATAGTTTATACAAAGGTTCCATCTTAGTCACTTTTTTTTTGTTGTTGCTGGGAAAACATACCAGACACCCACTTTTGAAAGGAAGAGGTTTGTTCGGGCTCGCATTTTCTTCAGTCCATAGCCCTCTGGCTCTGGGGCAGAGATAGGGTGGTGGAAGACACGGTGGAAGAGAAATTTTCAACCCACGGCAGCCAGGAAGAGGAGAGAAAAGGGAAGAGCCCTGACCCACGAATATCCCCTTCCAGGTCATGCCCCCAGTGACCTACCTCCAACCCATCCCCACCTCCTCACTGTATGTTCAGTAGTGAGCTCATCAAAGGGTTAGTCCGCTGATGAGTGCAGCACCCCCACTATCCGATGGCCTTCCTCGTACATGAAAGAATGTGATATAGTCTTTGTGTTACGACAAATGCGTTGAATATATCACCACCTCATTCCTTGGATTCAGAAATCACTAGACAGTATGCTTTGTCTCCTGTACCTTTTAGAGTTTTCTTGCTTTATGTGCAACGTCCAGGAATGTTAGTTGTGTTTACTAGTTTGTACTTTATTCTAAAGGTAATGAGATTATTTTTGTAAGATTTTAAGCAAGTCATTCTGCCTAGATTCTAGGTAGATGAAGGTTATGAAAGAGCAAAAGTCATTGTCAAGGCAAATTAGAAGACTATTAGAATCTGGTAAAAGCTTATGATGTTCTGGACTTGGTGGTAATAAAGGAGGTAAAAAGAAGTAGTCAGATCTGATATATTTAGGAATTAAGAATCGGTAGAATTTTGTGATGTCCAAGATAAAAGAGTCAGGAAACGTTTATTTTTCACTCGAGCCATTGGGTGAGTAGAAGCTTACCTGCTTTTTTATAGCCTTTATCACAATTATAATTTTATAGCTTGTGTATTATTACCTGTTTAATGTTTATCTCTCCCCACAGGATAGTAAGTACTATATCTGAGATCAGATCCATAAGAACTTTGTTCACTGCTGTAATTCTGCATCTACCACAATCTCTGGACTGAAATTATATGTTCAATGAATATTAGTTCATTACTATACATCTAAAAGTGGAAAGGTGCTTGTGGAGATTATTTTGCCAATGTATTTTTTAATATATTAAAATATTAAGGAGATACATCCCACTGAGACATTGTTATGACTTCTGTTTAGATGTTCCCCCAAAGCTTCATGCAGTCGTAGTTGAAGCTCTTTATTCAGAGGTGGCCAGATCTAGACTGTGTGATGCTGGGATTAAGGGTGTGTGATTACTACATCAGTCCACTAATCAGTTTGACACCACCCTCATCCTGGTACCTAGAGAGAATATAAAAGGGACAGAAAAATCTGTTAAGGTCCCTTGTTGCTCTTGCTTTCCTCTACCCACCATGAACTGTTTCTCCTTTGCGATGCCTGTCTGCCATGCCACCCTGCCTTGGAGTCAGCCAGTGATGGGCTGAAACCTCTTCAAACTCTGAGCTGAATAAACCTTTCCTCCCTTATCTTTGGGTGTCAGATATTTTGTCTCAGCAATGAGAAAAGTAAGGCAGATATATATGTTCAGAGCTTAAGAGATAGCTGTAAATTAGGTTTTAGGCACTATTTGCCTATTAATGAAAATTTTATAGTCATTGAAGTAAGAAATTTATTATGGAGTACATAAAGATGGCCTAGAACTAAGTCTTAAGACATTCCAACTTAATTAGACCTCCCAAAACAACTGGATAAGAGTAGTCAGAGAAGTAGAATTTATACCAGGAAAATGTTGTTAAATAAGTGCACATGGAAGAATATTTAAAGAAAATGGGGAGGGGATATGATATCATCAAAGCCAGCTAGGTTGCTGCAGCAAGAGATTAGACTCCAATCCATGCACAGGAGAAAAGCTCTCTTCACCTTGTTTCATTCTTTTTCTCTCTACATTTTGGACTTCAATAATTTCAATAATCTTGTTTTCAGGTTCACTGATTTCTTCTGCCTATTCAAATCTGTTGAGCCTTCCTACTGAAAATCTCATTTTAGTTTTGGACTTTTTAGTTTCAGAATTTCTATTTGGTTCCTTTTCATAATTTCTCTTTGTTGATATTCTCATTTCATTTTACTAGTTTTCCTTTAGTTTTTTGTCTGATGACTTTATTTAGCTCTTTGAGCATGTTTAAGATAGTTGACATACATAAAAATCTTTGTCTAGTAAGTCCAATGCCTGAATTTAATGCTTCTTTGTCTTGCAATAT